TCACATTCATGCGCTGCAAGCAGGCTGCAAGCTCCTTCCTCACATCTACAGCTAATTCTCAGCAGCCGGTACACAAACAGTGTTACTGAGTGAACCCAGCAGCAAGGTCAGACTGTATGCAGGGGGCAAGTTGTGAGGTCTTTAATGGGGCGCATGTTTGTTTAAGTCTTATTTTTATTTTAGGATTTGTTGGCTTGGTCATGGCATCATATTTATTTGAGGAAAATGAATAATACATTACCGTGAACTAAATATGGCAGTCAAAATGTTATCTATTAGCTTGACCAGATCTTAGTTTTAGTCTTTGTATGGATCCCATTGCTTTTTCTTTCCTTTAGTGAATCTGATGTGGTACAGACATGGTTTCTCTTAGTCCTCATACTCATTTTAATCTACAAAATACTATTAAACTAGCAACTTCATTGTCAATGTCATTAATACAGCTACTTGTCACCCATTTACAGCCTTAGCGTAAACTAGATATCAGCAGTAATGGCTACAACACAAGGTGTCAATAAAACCGATACTCAATGGCCTTCCTGTCAACTCCCTCAAGAATAATGTGTGTCTGTCCACAGAGGGGAAGCTAAGCTGACCACAACAAACTTCATAACTACAGATGCAGCTACCTCAGCATCACTGTTCAGGTACTGCAGTGTCATGATAAAAGCCTCATTACTGACAGAGAGAGTAACAGTGTGAAAGGACAGAGAGGGAATGAGAGGACAGGAAACAGAGACGATAAGAGAAGGAGACAAAAAACAGAGTCGTCCACAACCACATACACACAATGCATGCACTCAAACACACACATGGCTAAAATTACATTCAAGAGGGCATGAACTAGGCCACTGCGCTGCACTAGGCAGGAAAGTGGTAGTTTGCCAAGTGAACAGAGACTTTCAGAGACATCAAGGTTGCAGGCTAACACCAAATGTGGTTACACGTGATCGAACACACATTATCATTGTCAGCCCGGTGGCTAATAATCAAGATCCAACCAGAAGAGGAAAAAGGGAAAACGTGGAGCTATCAGTCGTCGTTATACATGAGAATAGAATACTTTAACTCTAAACTTCAAATCATTTCAGCTATGAAATAATGACCAGATTATGAGGTACCATGTTCTCTTAAACTGCCAAAAAAAACAACGTTCAACAGCTTATTTTCTTCCCACTGAGACTTTGGCAAGATTTGAGAGGAGTGACTGGCAAACCAACTCATCAGACAACTAGTAACAACCTCGCTCAGTAAAAGTTGGCAGGCACGGCTTTTAGCCAGACCAGCAGCGAGACTAAAACTGACAGGCATGACTTGCACCTAATAAGCATCACACACTGGAGTTGTCTATTAAAAACGTCTTCTGCTTACACTCTATGAAGCTGACTGGCTCAATTTGTATGGGAATTTTTCAATTCTTCTATTATGTATCAGCAGCCAACAGAGATCTTTTTTGCCAGTTGTATGGCTTGGAACAAAAAATGAACACTACATTTTAAGCATAAATAACACAACTAAGAGACTACAGTGAGTAGAGTGCTTTGATTACAACTGTGTTCAACATCTTCTTAGCTTTATAGCATGTCAACATCGCACACAACACAAAGGACAGCTGAGGCAGCAATTTCACCAGTTTTAAAAAGGTCTTTGGTCCCTAAAAGTATTGGGGAAAACAATTATTTGACATGACGATGCGCTACATGAAAAGCTAAGGGATCACCAAAGGTATAGCAGTTTATATTTCCAAATATATGTGCACGAAAAATCATGTAAATCCATCCTGCACTTCATTTCACTCAAGCCCAAAATGTCCATGTTATTGTGGCAATCGAGAAAAAATGACCAAAAGTCTGTCTGATTCAGCCGTCGAGGACCAGGGATGTCCGCACAAAATTGTGGTCCAATTTATCAAATAGATGTTGAGATGTTTTGCAAAATAGGTGGAAACTTTTAACAGATGGTGGAGCTACAGGAACATTTAAGGGATCGCCATAGTTATCCGGGATCATCCTCTGAGGATCATGAATATCAAACATCATTGCAATAGTTCCAATAGCCTTTGAGATAGAGATCCCTGGCATTAGCTTAGGTAAAACACAGGCCATCACAGGACAATTTGCTATCAGCCGTTTCAATCTAGATCAGATGTTGTGTTGAGCATCTCGATAAACAACACTGCTTTTTCTCATAGGTAAAAACAAATGTTGAAAACACTCTTATGTCAAATCATAGTTATATTTTAAATAACATTTATTCACATGGCACGGAAGTCAGATAATGGTGCCAACGGTTGTGATATAGCTAAAACATTTCAACATTTCAACAAAACGTCATCTGCTATGCAATGGGAGAATAGCAAGATGCATTTATTATTAATAAAGCCATATAGAGAAAGCTGTTAGCCCACTTAACAACACAAAGCTAGATTTCAATGTCGTTTATAATTAAATGTTGCAGGCCGTATTTTTCCAGAAGCCCTTGTTATTGTGGCGTTCCAATAGGCCCGTTACACTCATACATACAACTCTGGAGGTCGTTCAGCACGGCTGCAACAAACAGGCCCTACACATTAGGCCTTTGTGCTTCGAGAAACATCGGCCCTCTTTTTTTTTTTTACACCCTGCCTGCAGCACAGCCGAGCACCGCAATGTGCTGACACCATCATCAGCTATTCTAAACCTTTACCACAGCTATATCCACACATCCAGAAAAAGACAGGAGGGAGAGAGAATAGACAACAGCTAATTTGTATTCATGTTCATTTACAAGACGTGTGTAATTTTCAGTGTCAGTTAGGAGGATTTATTCCGTATTTTTTATGCATATTGTGGATGTCCTGGTGGGCTTCCTGTTTGGCTTTGCTGGACCTCATTCAACAACCACCCTGCCACTGATGATCCATGGATGGATGGATGGCTTATGACCCGTTAAGAAGCATACATATCGTGTAGTAGCAGCAGTAGCAGTGTAATGACATATTATCGATCAAAACAATTAAATATAAACTGTACTGTTACAGTTGGAGGCATACTTTTGGCGGAAGTATGAGCCAACGTGAAAACATATTAGATGACCATACATAATGTATATTTTATATCATCAATCAATCTTTCAACCCTACATATTAAGTAAGTCTTGTCGAAGTACAAAAACACAACGCGTGTATCATTCTTTACCAACACGGTAATCACAACATTTCCTAATAAGCAGAGCCGTATAGACACCATTAACACAGGGTTAACACATAAGAAACCAAATATAGCAGCCAGCTGTGAGATGGCAAGTCTGCAAATTTATATTTTGCGAGATGCCTTCGAGCAAAAACAGACTGGAGAGGTTAACATCAAACGGTGTAAGTCAAGGAAGCTCTAAACTGCATTCAGGGAGGCTGATCACTCATAAACAATTTATCTATGGCTGGTCATTCACTGGAGCTGCTTGACAATTTGCAAAAGAAGTCCAGTAAGAGCGGCCTATTAAATGCAATCTTTAGAATACAGCGGTGGAGGTGGACTCTATGAGGAGAAAACACCAGGACATCATCACTTGTCACTTTTGAAAGTCTGGGGTATATTCAATCTAAGAGCTGCGATGAAATAGGATCTTTTGACAAATGGCTACTATAACACTAGAGAAGTCGAGTTGGATAGAGATGGTTGACGCCCCTCACTCCCCTGGGCACTGAGATGATTAAATCAGTTTAGTCAAGGTGTCATTTCAGGAGAAACTGACAGCAGAAATGGGTCAATCTGCAAAACAGTGAGATCTGCAGCAGGAACTAAGATCGGCATGTCAATATTACCTAGGTCGAACAACGCTGAGTCATTTGAATATTTCCATCTAAATGACCATCAGTCAGATGACCAATAGACCACTCGGGGAGGATGTATTTTTAATTACTGCCAGACACTGAAGTGCACTGACACTGAACCACATTGAAGCACATCTATAGGCCCGGGGGCTGCCAACTGGTATGCATCTGTCCTGCTGCATACAGTGCACCATCCACTTTGCATTAGGCACTGCATGGTAGGTGTGCAAGGGGTCAGCATTGTTAATCATTCTAGCTTTGCATCTAAAATGGCACTGAAGCAGTCCAAAATAGGAGTCTGCAGATCCAGATATGTACAGTAGAGCATCATCACATCCCTGTACAGCCAGTGTGCGATGCAGTGCCCTCATTAGAGCAGTGGAGGATACTTGTGGCCTATCACTGATCTCGGTGAGGAGTCAGCCAACTGGTGGCCTGTCTGCCCAGAGGAGAAGCATCCCGCCGGGCTACAGGTCATCTGCTGCAGTGCATCTCCCAGTGCTTCAGCTGTCAAACACCCCCCTCTGCACTGACCACAATGTGCTCCACACTGCATGCAGTACCGAAGCTGCAATGGGTGAGCTTTATCTTGTGGACACTTTTGACGGTTTAAAAAAACAAAACATTACCCCCACCCCTCATATGAAACTCGCACTGTATCTTTAAAAGAAAAGGCCCGACAACTTAAGAGCAAAAACTTTGTTGAAGACAGGCCTGCTCAAGACACCTCGGCCTGCCGTCCTGGCTCTGAGAGGGTAATGTTGTATACGTGCATGTCCGGGTTAGTGATGTGCAGACCCGGGTTAATGTGGCCTGGCGTAGCCCCTTACTCCTTCATGCGTCTCTTTCCCTATTCTCTCCATCCCCCCTCTCGACGCCATCTGTTTGTGGCATGAGAGAATGTGGAAGTAAAAAAAGAAAAGACGACATTTTGACTGTAGTTGCTGACCTACATCGACCATTTGTTTCCAGCGCAGCGCTAAAACCCGCACCGAAAACGCACAGGCTGTTAAAAATAGCCGGACATTACCCGCATACATTTTGTATCCTGGTCAGGAGGAATTTGATAAGTTACGCTTGAAACACTGCTCCGCCTCGCCGGGCCGGACAAGTCAACGCTCCGGCGGCACAGACATTTCCTCTATAACCGTCAAAACCGAGAGATATTCATATGAAATGCGTAACTCACCTGATTCCAAAATCGGTTTATGGTGGCGACGTGATTGTGGTTAATTTCAATATGGGAAAAACAGTTACAACGGTGGGTCCCCGTTGTGTGTAGCAGGAAGGAGGGAAGGGAAGGCGAGAGGGGCTGACGTGAATGAATAAACAACTGAGCTCCTCCTCAGCGCCACAAGTAAAGGCGGAATGTGGCTGACTTTGAGCAATTCACAAGCAGCCATTAAAGCATGCCCTTAAATTAGTATTTACCAGCAAATACTGATGTTTTTAACAGGCTTTACAACCTTTTCCTCGTTTAGGAATGCCAAATAGAACATGCTGCTGATTCAAAAATACTAATCCTAGTTTGTATGATATCTTCCAGTTATTTTATTGCATCATTAGTTTATATTAAGTGACATAAAACTAGCTTTACTGTAAAATACATATTTTTGAAAAACTAAATGTGAAAAACTAAATCCAGCAGGTGGTGCTGCCTGCACCCTGAAAACAGGACTGATTTAGGCATTCAGACAAAAATCCATTAAGATCCCCTGCAGACATTAAAACATGTCTTTCGATTGATAAGACTTTCTTTGAAACAGTTCTTCAAGAAAGATATCTTATCTTATTCAACCACAATATTGATAAACTGCATACAGACTGCAAAATCTAAGAAAACCTCATTTTGAAGGGATTGTTGAGACTCAAGCCTTGACTTTCAAATACATGAGTAGGCCTACATTTGGGGGAACCAGCTGTTTGTCTCCATCATTTGACAGTGTGCAGACATTTCCCCCCAACACTGAGTAATACAAGTACACATACATAGATAGACACATATTAAATAACATTGTGACAAAAATACATTTACATACAAGACCTATTTCAAAAGAAAGATGTGACCTGTATTTGTACTATGCTTGACAAGTTATCACAGTGACTATTGTATCTCTACATTAGATTAAGTTAAATTATACTTAGAAATATTAGAATTGTGTCTAAAAGAAAGACACAATTCAGACACTAGAGGGCACAATAACTCCACTAAAGTTCTGGCACTGAGCTAAAGTACAGTGAATTTGCAGAGTCCAAATAATGAATGTGTCAGATGATTCACTAATTAATCAATTCCTCTTAATGTGGGAATAACTACATCAGTGTTTTTCTTGTAAACTGTCAGAGAAGACCAGGGCAGATCCACGTTATGTTCAGCGGTAAAGCTTTACACCAATAAAGGAAATGATAATCAAAAATGAATTGTTGCTGGTAATCAGAAAATGGTTGAGGGATGTGATGTACAGCTATACAAAAACACAGATGTACTCGAAGTATTTTTGTGTGTCATATGTGTTCCTTTCAGCCCTGTCGTACAGTGCTATTAGTCTCCACACTGCAGCCTGTGATTATCCAGTGTTATTGACAGAATGCTCATTTACATAAAGCCGCTGCTGTGGCGCCCTTCAGTTTACAGAGGCCCATCGATACAGAATGCGCTGTGAATTTAAATGTCTGTGGGTTGGGGGTCTCAAACCTAGGTTAAAACCGTGTCAGCGAAGTGAGATGAGTTTTTCATTGATTTTTATGTTAGAAGATCCAAGGGTACGAACACTGTCAGAGGGGGAAATCCGCTTGTTTTCCCTCAGGTACAGAACAGCACTGGAGTGTACAACCAGACAATAAGGTGGTGTTTGTGAAGGTCAGAAGTCATACTTGTTCTGACCATTTGAGGCTTTCTTGTCATTACATACTGGATGTCTTTTTTGTATTTGTGAGCAGAACAAGTGCTGTTCACATAATGAAAACAGATTGTGATATACTGCTTTGAGTAACACATGCTGCCTTTTTCCGCCATGCCAGCGTATTAATATTCTAGTCTGGTACTGTTGGTTCATCATGATGCGCTACGGTGATAATTTGACTGCCTGCTTTTCGCATTGCAGGAATCTGTGCTGTGGAGTCTTTGAAAAGGCTACAAAATGTTGTTCCTGTGGGTGGTTGATTTAGCAGCGAGGCCTATCTCCTTCTCACCTTCCTCCTCTCTGCCCTGCCTGTCTAGACTGTGATTACCATCTGCTTCATCACTTGAAGACGGTGCACTCTCTCTCTCTCTCTATCTCTCTCTCTATCTCTCTGCCTCCCTCTCTCCTTCTCTTTATGAAATAAGATGCTAAAGCAGAACTTGTCAGGCGTGTTTGAACAACAAATCAAATCTCCTTTTATCCAATGTATCATAGCAATAAAGGTTGGTGTATTTCCTGTAAGTACAGTGATGCAAGAACAGCGTGATGAGTTTATGACTGTATTTGATTCCCAGGACAAGATGTTGCACAATTATTAAATCTGAAACATATTTTCTTAAAGGAAAACTACATCAGAGAGATAATCTGACATGTGCTTCTTGTTAAAGCCGCAGCTACTGTAGCTGAGACCTGCTTTGTGATCAACTATAATTTTCTTCTTAAACTACACATAATCTAGCCAATGGTGATGTCATCTGAGCCAATTATGTAACACATTACTGACAGTAAATGCAAGAGTTTAAGACAGAGAACAACAGGAATTTGGGCAGATTTGTGCAGCATACCTGAAATATAATAGAAGGCACTTGTTTTGCATGATTCCACAAAAGTCAAACTACATTTTTAGCCCCATAAATTGAAAAAGTAGAACAAAATAGTCTTCTTTGTATCCTAATTACAAAACAGATCAGTGTTGTTGACATTTCACCTTGCATGGGACCAGGTTTGCTAATATTTATCAGCCTTTGTTTTCAAGCAAGTGGCATTGCTCAAGATCTGTCATTTTAATCCAATGCAAAATGTCTTAACATCTGCTGGATGGATTGCTGTGATTTATTTCGTTCAGACGTTCATGTTTCTCAGAGAAATGCATGATTATCCTCCAGCAGCACCAGCAGGTGTTCATTGTTCAAGTCATTTTCTTTCAAAGCTTTGGTTTGAGGCCTACTTTGTGTTATGATGGTAAACATTATAGCCTACATGTTAAACACCAGCATGTTTTCATTGCATTCATTTTTCGAGCATGTTAGCATGCAAATGTTAGCATGTTGCTTAAAGCCAAGGTTTCAAATGAGCCACTGGCATGGCTATATATTTTTAGACTTGTTCTATCACGACAATAAAGAAATTAAACAAGCAATACAAATATAAATCCAATAGTTTGTGTCCTTCACCTAGGCTTGACATTTCATGTCACTTCATATACTGTAGGCATTCATGAGGGCCTATGACAGAGCATGTTCAATTTGTTGCTCCAGTGGATTTTAACTTTGGGCTCCCATGTGTTTGCTATTCATTCAAGTCAGTGTAGTACTCTGTTTTCCCCTGTACTTGACAGTGTTTTTATTGGGGTGTAACAGCATTACCTCATCCATCCTCTGACAGTTCGCCTCCAAGCTTTCTGTGCTTTCAAGAGATGTACATGCAGGGCGTGTTGGGGCAAGTGAAGTTCACATGTTCAAATTCAAAACTAATCCCTGGAGAAAGCCAGGCTGTTACGTAAGAGCTTGTTTCAAAGAGTGTGTTTTCAAGAAGCATTGAAAAGAGAGAGCATTCTTTCTGCTTCCTGGACAGCTGTTGCACGTGGGCGCAGATCTGACTTTAGATTCAATCTGTTTATATGCTTCTTTCTAAAGGTGCTTGAAAACTGTGCCACATTGACAGAAAGGTGTTGGACTCACATTCCACAGTATTGTAGGAAAAGTATGTGAACTATGACAGCCGTGTGAATGCTACAGTGGGGTCAGAGTGTCTGAAGAATCCCACCCCTGTGAGGAGTTTTAATATAGCCGGGGTCACTCTCACCCCCTGATGAGAGAGCAACACAGGAGCATCCTCCTCCTACATGACTTACGGCCTGAATAGACCAAGCTATTTGGCCTATTTCAGGAAATACAGCTCCAGTTAGGTTTGTAAAGGAGTGTACAGTGTCAAATGTAAGAGACTGTGCAGACAGACTGTCCACAGACAGACAAGGAAAAGGGAAGAGACGTCTCAATCGACAACTGGGTAGTAACCTCAACATATGCAGAACGTCATGGAGGTCTGTGTACATGATGTTCTGTCGCTCTGTTTATTTCAGCAAAACTGCTCCTTCATAGTTGCATGTTAACACTTGACTGTGTCGCACAGGAGCAAACGAGTTGTAGCCGTCCTCTTCTCGGCGTCAGGTGGCTGATAACAGCTGAGCAGCCGGCGTGCTGTTGTCCTCCTCTCGGCGTCCGGCAGAAGGTGAGCGGCCGCTCTCAGCGTTCGATAAACGCAACGAAGAATGTCCTCTTGTGTAACTCCAAAAAAGGCAAGTTGTTGACTATATGTTGAGGCTAAGCCAACGCTTTAAGACTCTGAGGATCCGCTTGGTGGGTGTAATTGACGCACACCTTGTTTGCTGCCGAATAAAAGTCAGAAACAAAGTTTCCAGTTCGAAATAGTCAATTTATTTCCCTGTTTTACTGGTTTCTTTGTTTCATTCACCACACGATATTTATGGTTTACACAATACCTTTTGCTTTGTTTTTAATCCCGTGTTTGTGTGTGTGGTCAAAAACTGTATGGGCCTTCCGGCGGAACCTCTCACCAACAAACATAGGTTCCTACCTTTATACCCGCAGTTAATTGGCTCCTACAACACTACTTCAAAGAAACAAAATGTAGGTAGCAACTGGCATTAACATACGATTACAAGCCTGTTGAAAAATGTACATTTACCTTCAGGTAAAAACAGAAAACGCTTGTGGGTTTTGGGTTGTCTGTCCTGAGTTACTGTAAAAACTAACTGCAACTTTTAACGGACGTTGTGGAACAGGATCTCTTTATGTAATTTCAGTGGATTTTAAACTCATGAAAACATACTTATGGATATTATATCTAAATTCTGCAAATAGATCTCCCTAAATAATTCACACTGGCCCTTTAAAAGTGAGACCTGAGTGATGGCTGCAGACTGCAGTACACTCCCACTCCGTCTCATGATGAATAGCACTTGAACAAATATATCTGACATTTTGTTAAAAAAAAACTGCACTTGATTTGATTACCTGAGTGCATAAAGTACTTCATTTGTGATTCTTTAGCCAACTTCAAAAAACAGTTACATCATCCACCAGCTAATGTATTACATAAACATTACATCT